TTAAATCATATTAGGACTCCTATTATAGTTTAAGGTATATTCCTTAATTAAGGGGTTTTGGAGTCTCTGGATAGTGCCAGGGGTGTAGTCGCGGGTAGATCTGAAGCGATCCAAAACCCTAAACTCGAAACCCTAAACCCCTAAACCCAAAACCCCTAAACCCTAAACCCTAAACCCTAAACCCTAAACCCCAAAACCTCTAAACCCTAAACCCGAAGCCCCCAGTCGTAAAGTGCACAGATCATACGGGTAGTTCTCTTAAATAGGGTCCCCTTATAGGTCTCCAATATAGTAACGGCACCCTTATGAAAGAACCCCTAGAAGGGACCCTAATTTAGAGAACTACCTCTTTGCCCAGAAGGATTGGGTCTACTACATCGACACTCGGTCCCTTTGTAACGCAGCCTGGGCCTTCGCCCACCTTGGCCTGAAGCACGATGCCATGATGGCCCCCTAGCTGCACTACAAGGGTGTAAGGAATGAGGATATTCCGGTTGTGCGTATAGGGTTTGGGGCACTCGGGGTTTAGGGATTGGCGTTTTAGATGTTCCAACAGCGCAGATGTGAGGGACGAGCGAGTTTCGAGCCTTCTATTTGGCTGCTGATTAGCTTTGATGCACATGTAATTAAATTCTAGTGGTTTCCTTTGGTTTTGCAGATCATGAAGAGCATGCTGACCAGCATTTGCTGGCTTTAGGCTTTGAGGTTGGGGGCAAGGTCTTTCGACATGGATGTCTCACTTAGAGGGGAAGCAGGGTCCCGAGTCCCGAGCCCATCGAATCCTTTTACATGCCATCCACGCAACGCATATGTGCAGCGCGAAGCAGCGTGCCCTACCCCCCACGTCCTAAAACCCTGAAACCCAAGTTGGAGGTGTTTTGTTGGGGTGCTGTAACAGACAGTGCCGGTTGGGAGCCTACGCTGGCAGACAAGAGTCGAACCCAACCCTAAAAAAAAGAAGCCCAAACGATCGAGGACATTGACCCTAAACCCTAAACCCTAAACCCTGAACCCTAAACGATCGAGGACATTGTTTCCGAAGAGACGTGCCGCAAGATCTTCGATTGTAGCGCTCAGCTCCTGGTCTGGCTTCAGGATTTAGGGCTTTATAGGGGTTTAGGGGTTAGCGGTTATACTATATTTGGGTTTAGGGTTTAGGGTTTAGAGTATACCTAAACTATGGGATTTATGGTACTAGACTATATTTTCTTAGTGGCTGAGTAGGTAACCTTTAACCTTTTGGGGCTCTTATAATCCTACTATAATTCAAAAAGTTAACCTTTTTTGGGTTAGGGTACTCAGCCCCTAAGATAGGGGTTTAGGGGTTAGCGGTTAAGGGGTTTAGGGCAGTTTAGCGTTTAGCGGCACAGATTGAATGATGGAAATTGAAACATGTCGCAGGCAGGCCCTAAAAGGACGGGCTATACCCTAAACACCCTAATTCTATCCTAAACCGTGTATCCTAAACCCTGCACACCTGCTCGCATACTTAGAACGCAGGCTGCAAGGGTTCTTACACCCCGGAAAAAAATTCCAACCTTGTGTCCCACCTGAGGCAGCTGGCAATGTGCGCCTGGTCCTTTGCGAAGATGTCCCGCCGAAGCTCGCCAGAATCTCCCGAAACCCTAAACCTTAAACCCCTAAGCCCTAAACCCCTAAACCCAAAACCCTGAACCCTAAGAATCTCTCGAACTCATGTATGTCTGCAATGTGGATAGTTCTCTAAATTCGGTTCCCTCTTTGGGGTGCACAAGGCTGCGAAACTGATTGAATGCATGCTCCCATGGATACCCGTATCCGGTCTAGGGTCTAAATCCTAAACCCCGAAACCCTAAACCCCGAAACCCTAAACCACGCGAAACCCTAAACCCCTAAGCCCTAAACCACTAAACCCTGAATGCTAAGCCCCTATAAAGCCTAAACCCGCAGCTGCTTCAGTGCAGCTCCTGAACCCTCGAACCCATCATCCGGCGTGAAGGATTTTGCCCGGGGTTAAGGGTATTTGGGGTATTTGGGGTTTAGGGGTTTAGGGGTTCAGGGGTTCAGGGGTTTAGGGGTTTATAGGGTTTAGGGTTTAGGGCTTGGGGGTGCCCGCAAGCACTGCAACCCGACCTTATGCCCTAAGGGGCCCAGGTCCCCAAATCGTAGGGTTTCAAGGTCCCAAAACCCGTTCAGAGTAGGGTTTAGGGTTTAGGGTTTAGGGTTTAGGGTTTAGGGTTTAGGGTTCAGAGTATGGATATCAAAATGTCAACCCCGCTATTTTTTTGGATACTTGGACCCTTAGGGTTAAGGTCCTCAAACGCATGGATCCTTTACAGAGGCTCCATGTACCTGTAATAAGGATATATACTTTGGCCTCAACAGGGGCTCCCTAAATTCGGTTTAGGGTTTAGGGTGTAGGGCCTATATAGGTACTTTCGGGCCAATGTATATACTACAGGTGTACATGGCGCCTTTGGGACAAAACCCGTTTAGATCCCTTGTGGAACCCATGTGGAAACGCACCCCTATGAAGCTCGTAGTGGAATCCTTAGAAAGCCACAAACCTGAAGCCTTCAAACGTCTTCCTTCATAGAGCTCTTATGAAACGCAGCCCTTATAGGACCTGGGTTTAGGGTTTAGGGTTTAGGAGCCCTAAACCCCAAACCCTAAACCCTGAACCCTTATAGAACCTGGGAGAGCACTAACGGAACAGAGCTCCGAAGCAGATCCGAAACCCCGAGCCTGACGACTCAAACCCTAAGCCTTATAAACCTTAAACCTTGAACCTTACTCCCTAAGCCCTGAGCTCTAAACCTCAAGCCTTAAACTCTACCTTCACCCCATAATTACCTACCTTTTTAAGGACGTACCCAAAGAAGTCATATTAAGGAACCCTAAAAACAGGTAGGTTCTTTGGGGTCCAGGTAGACCTTAGAGCACCTTAGAGCCAACATCTTCGAAAGGAGATCTCCAGTTGATGCAATCCTTGGCGGACGAAGCCGTGCAGCGGCTCGCGGAGTTCTCCCCGCAGCACATCATGAACACAGCCGCCCGAACTGGTTTTGGCGTTGGGGTTTAGGCCTTGGGGTCTAGGATTTTGAGCTTATGCCGGGGGGTTAGGATTTCGGGATTTTCGGGTTTAGGATTTAGGCTTTCGGATTGTGGGCTTAGGGGTGTTCAGCAGGGTTTGAGAGAGAAGGTTCTATGATAACTGCAGAAGCTTTGCTTCAGGGGTTCTATCAGAGCTTTGCTCGTTAGTACAGGGCCTGTGGAACAGTTCGTGGTACATTCCTTCGTTTTCGTGATGCATTTATAGTAGTATCCGGCCCCCTGGATCCTGTTCTGAAGCCCTACACCCTAAACCCTTAATCCCCTAAACCCTTAATTATTAGCCTTAATTAAACCCTAAAACCCTGAGTCCTAAGCCAGGGTTTAGGGTTTAAGGGTTTAGGGTAAGCAATTTCGGAAACTGTAGGTTACGCGGCCGTTGGAAAAGAATTTGTTCCTTACCGATTCGTTGGGAACCCTAAACCCTATACTATAGGGGCCTTAGTAATCGCCGATATTATTTTTCGGAGGGATTCCTTACTATAAATATAGTATATTGGGCCCAAAAACCCTATTCTAAGTATTAAGGCCCCTGCATTAGTTTCCTCCTGCTGGGCTCGGTGGTTCAGCTGGCTGTCGTCCTGGGCTCTCGATGACTTCCAGCTGAAGCAGGGACATGATTGGGGGACCCCTGGGTGCTTATGATTATGATTAGGCTTAAGGCCCTAAACCCTAAACCCTAAACCCTAAACCCTAAACCCCAAACCCTAAATCCTAAGCCCTGCCACAACTCTCAACCTGCTACCTTGCTGCCCTGTCTGTTTGTCCT